CCTGCTCTCTCAGAAGAAAATACTGAGCCACTGCTCCCACTAGCTCTGTAGCCTGACCTAAACTTACTGAGTTTCTTCCAGCCGCTGCTCCCACCCAGTCCATAGCCTGACCTAAGCAGACGAACCTCCCTTTCTAATTTCCCCTTCTTTGTGTGATCAGTGAGCAGATGCTTCCCAATCTGAAGAAATGCTCAGTAAATGGATGTGATGGGCAATCTATGATTCCTGACTGCCTATCATTGAGCCCTTTCCTCTTGGTACCATTATCCTCATTACCTTTTCGGGGGTTACCTGTCCCCCATGGGATACAGTCTTGTGGGACAATTAATCAGGTTCATACTCACTCCTAAACAAGAGATGGGAACATGAACTACATTGGGCCGACTGGACTTTCTTTCCCTGGATACGAATTGTGAGCAGTGAACAAAAAAGGCTGGCCATGGTTTCAGTTCATTCATTCCACTCCCAGAGCTAGAACGAAAATGGTTTCTTCGTGTTGTAGGCATTCCCTTCAAATCTGCAAGTCCAGACCTATGGAGCCTTCCAACCACTGCCGGTTTTCTTTTTTTGTTTTTTTGAGACGGAATCTTGCTGTTACCCAGGCTGGAGTGCAGTGGCATGATCTCGGCTCACTGCAAGTTCCACCTTCTGGGTTCACGCCATTCTCCTGCCTCAGCCTCCCGAGTAGCTGGGACTACATGTGCCCGCCACCATGCCGGCTAATTTTTTGTATTTTTAGTAGAGATGGGGTTTCACCGCGTTAGCCAGGATGGTCTCGATCTCCTGACCTTGTGATCTGCCTGCCTCAGCCTCCCAAAGTGCTGAGATTACAGGCGTGAGCCACTGCGCCCAGCCCCAACCACTGCCTTTTTAAACTGAACGCAAAGTGGTCTTCATTATTCTCCAAGAATTGTCAAGGAAGTACCTCTGTACTTGTGCAGCATAAACTTGGCCATCAACTTTGACACAGCAGCACACTCTCTCTTTCTTGATCCCCTCTGTCAAGTTTCAAGACGTGACACTGGTGGTTTTCCTCCTCCTCCCTTCTCATGCTCTCCTATCTGCTCCTCCAGCTGACAAATACTAAAGTGACTCAAGGCTGTTTCCGAGTCAACTTTCTTTCTAGATGTACTTCTCTCTACAGGCAGTCTTATCCCTGGTCACACTCAGAATTAATCATTGAAATGCCCATGACTCTTAAGCGTATTTCTTTGGCCCAGCCCTTCTCTGACCTCCAGAAAGATACCCCAAAGTGTTTACTTGTAATTGTCACTTTGCTGGTTCAGAGGAAACTCAAAGTCAACAGGTCCAAAACTGTGACCTCCATTGTGCCTACCACTGCTGCCTCACACACACAAAAAAGCTAGTCCTCCTTCAGCCATACCTATCTAGATGATTGCAGTAACCATCCACCTAACCATGAAACCACAAATTCAGGAGACTAGGAGTCTCCTTCTAGCCTCCTGCTTTCTCAGTTTATTGTATCCAAACAACCACTAAGTTCTTCCAATTTTACCTTCTAGTCGTCTCTCAAATATGTCCAGCTCTTTATTGTCATTGATCTCACTTTGGTCAAAGAAATGCTCTCCTAACTGGCCTCTCCTAAGCATCTCTGCACACCCCTTCAATACCTCCTTCACATTAGAGCAAAGAATAATTTTTAAAATGCAAATACTATTCCTAAAATAACGTTGCCTTCCCCTTAGCACAAAGATCAAAATCCTCCCCAGGGCCTCCACAGCTGCTGCCTGCCTGTTCTCTTCTCTCATCTCATGCGAGCCCAGGCCTGCCTCATCTGTCCTGCTGTACTGCGGTGCACTGATCTTCTTCCAGAGTCTTACAGATGCCATTCTCTCTCCATCTTCAGCCCTTTGTCTATGTCTTGCTCTGTTTTCCCCAAGCTATTACAGCTCAAAATAGTCACTGCCTCAAGAAAGTCTTCCCGAATTTTCCAGCTTAAATGTGGGACCCCCCCACCCACACCACCCATTTTACACTGTCTACCTCTCCTTTAGTGCTTATATCACAGCTACAATGTACTGTGCAATTAGGTGTTTAATTTTTGAACTCCCCTATGAGAACGTAAACTCCATGAGAAATAATAGTAATCTCTAGCATTTAGCACAACCTTTTAAAAAACACTTAAGATTTTACCCAGTATTATTCACTGTTGACTCCCAAATTACTATGGCAGCCCTAACTTCTCCCTAGCTCCAGATTCATGTTTGTAATAACCTACTCAAACTCTTCAACTGAATATTTAACAAGCAGCTTAAATGTAACATTTCTAAAACCTCTGAATTACCAATTACACCCCTAAACTCTCCGATTTCCATCCTGCTCAGGTCAATAAAGATCACTACCAGTCACCCCACTTTCTAGGTCAAAATGGTGACTGAGTTATCCTTGATTCCTCTCTTTCCTTCAAATCCCATATCCAAAAATAATTTATCAGTGGGTCCTCCTCTCTTTCCATCCAAAAATAATTTATCAGTGGGTCCTCCTCTCTTTCCTTCAAATCCCATATCCAAAAATAATTTATCAGTGGGTCCTACAGACTTTAACTTCAAATTACATATCCTCAGCCAGGTGTGGTGGTTCACGTCTGTAATCCCATCAGTTCAGGAACCCAAGGCAGGCAGATCACCTGAGGCCACGAATTCAAGACCAGCCTGGCCAACATGGTGAAACCCTGTCTCTTCTAAAAACACAAAAATTAGCCGGGGGTGGTGGTGCATGCCTGTAGTCCCAGCTACTCAGGAGGCTGAGGCATGGGAATTGCTTGAACCTGGGAGGCAGAGGTTGCAGTGAGCCGAGATCACACCACTGAACTCCAGCCTAGGCAACACAGCGAGACTCCATCTCAAAAAAAATAATAATAATAAAATTAAATTTAAAAAAATTACATGTCCTAAGCATACTTCTCACCCCTCTGTCACTACCACTCTCTTTCATGCCTCCATCTTCTCATGGCAACCTCCTAACTTGGTCTCCCCACTTCTGCCTGCCTCCCCCCAACTCTCTTCTTCACATAGGGGTCCTCCTCCCACCCCACAATACAGACTCTACACAGACAGGGTCTCTTGTTTGATCCCACAGTGCACATATACCCAATGACTAGCATTTGGCTGAGCAGACAGCAGACAAACTAATTATTTGCTGAATGACTAAGAATTCTGACTGCAGATTTCTAGGCTTCATCCTTGGAAATTCTGACCCTGAATTTCTTAATCATCCACAGGTGACTGATGATAACTCCACCAGACACCCAGGCCCATCTCCTCACAGAGGACTTCAAAGCTGTCCCTGCATGCTCTTACTCAGGACCCCTTCCACCTCAGTGCACAGAGGCCTCTGAAGTGACCCTGACACTTGGAAGAAATGAGAAGAGAGCCTCCTCTGAGAAACACTAGGGAAGCTAACTCAAGATGATTAATCTTTAGTGAAGACAGTATCATGAGAAAATTGTCAGTTTACCAGAATGGCCCACAACCAGAAGCATCCTATGCCTGAATTTGGTGAGGGTGGGTTAAGTACATACAATGCTTTTTTTTTTTCTTTGAGATGGAGTCTTGCTCTGTCGCCCAGGTTGGAGTGCAGTGGCATGATCTCAGTTCACTGTAAACTCTGCCTCCCAGGTTCAAGAGATTCTCCCACCTCAGCCTCCTGAGTAGCTGGTTTTACAGGAGTGCGCCACCACACCCAGCTAATTTGTGTAATTTTAGTAGAGACAGGGTTTCACCATGTTGGCCAGGCTGGTCTCGAACTCCTGACCTCAAGTGGTCTGCCCGCCTTGGCCTCCCAAAGTGCTAGGATTACAGGCATAAATCACCACGCCTGGCCGTAAGTATACACAATTCTTAATTCACTGTGCTACCAGAAGCGAAAACATTAATTAACTCCATAGACTGAAGAAATTTAAAATTTTAACTTCATCTAAGATTAAGTCTTCCAAAAGCTTATATGCAACAGCAGCACTGATTTGATGCACTCCTCCCTCTTTCTTTTGTGTTTACTCTGGTGCAGGTGCTAAGAACCAGGGAAATAACAAATGCAAACAATGCAATGGAAAAGGAATCCTCAGTCTCATAAGAGAGTTTACAATAGCATTTGTCCCAAGGATCTCATGCTTTCCTCCATGCAAACACTGTTCTGGAATGCTACATCAAATCGATTTGATTCCGTACACTAAGGATTTGAGTTTCATAAAGTCTGGGATACAGCACCATATGAAATTACCAAGGAAGTTTCTACAACTTTTAATGCTTTATATTACTGAGAAAGGAGGTATTCAGATTCTAAAATTCTTATAACTACGCTGTAATATGGCAAGAAACAATCTAATCTCCGACTCCCTACAAGCACTCTCATTCTTCCTCTATAATATGTTTCGCTAAGCTTCACTCATTCCAAAACTTTTACAGAAGAAAAACCAACAGAAAGTGTTTTACTTTATTTTAAATGATTCCTGAGGACTGGTATGGAGGCTCACATTTGTAATCCCAAAGCTTTGGGAGGCTGAGGTAGGAGGATCACTTGAGGCCAGGAGTTTGAGACCAGCCTGGGCAGCATAGTAAGACCCTGTCTCTACAAAAAATAAACAAATAAAAAGAAGAAAATGATTTGTGTTCCAACTTACCTTTATGAAAACAGTTAAATATATCATCTGTCTCAGATAAATACAAAAATAAATCAAATAATGAGGGTACTTTCCTTCAGTTACTCATGTCAGCATGAACTGAAACAGGGGGCCTCTGTCATACATTCTTCATCATGTTTAACTCTTTCTGAGTCAGACAAGGACTTAAAAAGCAAGACTCTTCAAAAGCAAGAAGGAGTCAAGTGATTCAAGAAGCACAATAATTAGTCATTACCAAATGATTCTATATCGTGGTTTTGGGAGATTCTAAACAACACATGCCCCATCAGCCTGGATATATAAAAATATGCAATCCTCTCTAACTTCCTCTTTGGTTGGCTTCCCAAGAACCCAACCCTACCTGACCGGCTTGTTTTCTGGGCCCACATCTGTAAAGCCCATTTCCTCCAGTTTGCAGCGCCTGTAAAGCTCATAGTGCCTGGTATGGGTCTGCTCTCGCAGGTCCTCCATGTTTGTACAAATGAGCATTTCCCGCAGCTTTACAAAGTCACAGTGGTTTTCATTTTCCACTAGCCAAAAAAAAAAAAAAAGAAAAGAGCAACACTGGATTTTAATTCCTGGCACACAATTAAGTGTTTGCTGAATGTGAAATAACAAATAGCAAAATGATCAGTTTGTTTAATTGCTACGATTATTTTATACAGGTAACTAAGGAAGAAACTCTTGCAGTGTAAACACTGTATCATAGGCAAGGTGAATTAACAGACCAGGAGATTTACTTTAAATTTAGTAGCCAATGGACCACCAGGAAATAGCAAAAAAGACACAACTTATTGTTAACCAACTGTTCTAGTTATTTCACACGAATATTTTGTTAGCAGTTTACAAACTATCCTGAAGACATTTCACATAATGTTTAAAAAGAGTATATAATATTAGTTCACTAAAACTTCAAAGTAGTAAATTCTACAAACTCAAGAATACTATCCATCCACGCTATAATTATCAAATTCATTTTATACAACACATTTATGATCCTGTGTTAGACACTATTCAAAATTAGTGAACACACATGATCCTTCTTCTATGTTTACGGTGACTAGAGGACTACAAATAAATATGTGTTATTGTGACCAACACTCTTTGGTATAATTATTACTTTTATATTTTTTATAAAATTAAAAATGTTACATTTTCTCAATATTTTTCACTAATTATAAAATTTATCAATTAAGAAAAAAAATCAGCATTTGGAAATCTATACTAGTAAGGGTAATCTATTCACCATTAATTAGCACTATAAGTGCTAATTAATGAACCATACAGTACTACTTACTTACTCATTATAATGTCAGATAAATAATCTAAATGTCAAGTGGATTTAACTTTTTAAGTTGGCTGACTGGTTTATTCTGGAAATAGCTGGCAATACTTTGATCAGTAAAAATAAATAAATTTATAAGATGGTTGACCGTCCTCATAGTTAAGTGGTAATTAGTGATGTTTTATGTCTGAACACTAGTTTCTACATTCACATTTGGATCAGAGTGCCCCACTGTTGTTTCCCACCTACTGACAGGGTACCGCGGGGAGGTAATGTGTGTGTGGCATAATGAGAAGGGGGAGGCCCTACATGGCCTCCAGACTTTGGCTAAAATAGTACACAGCCAACTCCTCTGACAACCAATCACATCCAAACTAAGCATCACCCCAAAGGTGGCATGAAAGGCAGCTTTGAGATTACTAGATACATATTTCTAGTCATCCTTTGTCTCATGTACCTTGTACAACACCCCAAGGGTACTGGCGAGCTTTGACCATCTTGTTTCCAACTTTCACCTCATCCATACTTCCCACAACAGCAAATGGCAACTGTCCCTGAAAAAGAATATCAAACACATCTCATACCAGTGTGATAACTGACTAGATAAAAGACATTTTATGTAAGAGAGAAGATAATAATTTATTAAATAAACCTATTAAAATCAAATGGTCAGCTATGCCTCAGATTTTAAAACCTGCCAGTGAATATGTGCTAACTGTTCTACAAGAGTCATCTTTGAGCCCCATAAAGAAAAGTATTTACATGCAAGGCATTATGCTATTGGGAATACACACAAACAAAAAAAAATCTTATTTATTTTTATTTTTATTTTTTTGAGACAGTCTTGCTCTGTCGCCCAAGCTGAAGTGCAGTGACATGATCTCAGCTCACTGCAGCCTCCACCTCCTGGGTTTCAGTGATTCTCCTTCCTCAGCCTCCCGAGTAGCTGGGATTACAGTTGCTCGCCACCACACCCAGCTAATTTTTGTATTTTTAGTAGAGACGGGGTTTCACCATGTTGGCCAGGCTTGTCTCAAACTCCTGACCTCAGGTGATCCACCTGTCTTGGGATTATAGGTGTCAGCCACCACACCTGGCCGAAAAAACAATTTTCCCCTAAAAGACAAAGATAATGTTGAGGAAATTACACATACACACACCCACAGTATACATATTGTGTATGTAACTATACAATAGTGTATTCCTATTCTGTGTGTACAGTGTGTGTGTATAGATATGATACTAATATAAAGTAGTATACAAAGTCCCAAATTAATGTCAATATAGTAAATGTCCTAGAAATTGAGAGGAGTGAGAGATCACTGGGAGCAGGAAGATACAAGCTAAGCCAGATCAAGAAGAACAAGATTTAGATGGATGAGCAAATTGGCAAGAAATGGCTTAGAAAAGGAAAAGATTCTGAACAAAACATAATAGCTAGGTTCAGGGGCAGGGAGCAGACTGGTCTGTCTGAAGTTGAGGATTAATACAGGGGAAAAGTCTAATGTAAAAAGTATTAATTACTATGTTTAATATTTTTAAATTGACATATTTAGTTTCTTAATGGTGGCTTTCTGAATATTCTAGGTGAGCACAAGAAATAAAATTAGATGTAAAGACAATTTAACATACAGGAATTAAGATCACCTCATTTACATTAGTTTTTTTATAGACTTAGTTTAGGTACATTAATATAAAAGTGGTATGAAAAATCAGAAAAGGAAAATAGAAGAAATGGAATGAACAATTATTCAAAGTCACTGGTAGGCGCTTAACAAAGGTGACATCATTCATCCCTCACAACCATCCTTAAGATGGGCAGTATTAACCTAACTTTGTAGATATGTTAAGTCTCAGGGAGGTTAGTAACTCCAATGAACATATGGCCAAGCCTGTCGGATTTCAAAACCCATGATCCTACAAAATATAAGCAGGTGTTTTAAAAATGTGTTAGCTTCAAGAAAGTAAAATAAAGAACTTAGTAACCTTCCATTGTATTAAACTAAAAGTTACGTGAATGTAACTTGGCACCATAAGAGAGAAGGAGCGTAAATACTAGCTTTAAGAGGCCTCCTTAAAGATTTTTTTTTTTTTTTTTTTTTGAGACGGAGTCTTGCTCTGTCCCCCAGGCTGGAGTGCAGTGGCGCGATCTCGGCTCACTGCAAGCTCCGCCTCCCGGGTTTACGCCATTCTCCTGCCTCAGCCTCCCGAGTAGCTGGGACTACAGGCGCCCGCCACCTCGCCCGGCTAGTTTTTTTTGTGTGTTTTTAGTAGAGACGGGGTTAGATTCTACAGCATGCAAAGAGAGGCTGTAAAGTCTTCTCATGTTTATAAAGACAGGGTAGGAAGGTGTCATCTTTCTAAGGCAATTACATACGGTTCCACAAAAGGTATATCCCAGTCTCACAAATGTATCACTTTATTTTGGTGAAAGCAGGGTGAAAGAAAAATATGCTTAAAAATAAATTCTCCTTATACTTTTTCCAATTTAAAAAATAAAACAATTTCTCATACTGGACTTTTTGAAAATTCACCTTGTTTGAAGTCTTTTTGGAAGACACAAGTGAAAGTATATTGGTAGCAATATTACTCACAAATTAGTTTTATTTTCACATGGAAAACAATTAACATTCAATCAGGAGCTCACATTCATCGCAGCATTGACCTTAGCGATAGTGTCATCATCCGTTGGGAACTGGTATATCTGGACACCATTGCTGACCAATTCACTCATGAGCTTGATCTTAAACTTCTGTAATTCAGTTTTAGAAACCGTATCTGCTTTGGCAATCACTGGTATAATGTTTACCTATTAAGAATAAAGAAAAACAAAATCTTATTGAGGATTTTTTTTTAATCCTGCAGCTGTTTTTTCACTCAAAACCATTCATTCTTTTCCCTAAACCTAGATTGGAGGGCTGGCAAACTACGGTCCATCTCGCTGTTGATTTTTATACATAAAGATTTACAGGAACACTGCCATATCCATTTACTTGTGTACTGTCTACAGTTGCATTCACACTACAACAGCAGAGATGAGTTACTGCTGCCAGAAACCATAGGGCCTGTGAAGCCCGGCGTATTCACAGCCTGGCCCTCTGCAGAAAAGGTATGCCAACCCGGACCTAGATGGCCACTCTCCTGTATATATACACCCCTTACACGCTCATTCCTACAGATGCTGGCCACACAATCTTTTTTTTTTTTTTTTTTGAGATGGAGTCTCGCTCTAATCCAGGCTGGTGTGCAGTGATGCAATCTCAACTCACTGCAACCACTGCGTTCCGGGTTCAAGCGATGCTCTTCCCTCAACCTCCCAAGTAGCTGGGATTACAGGCACCTCAATCAATGCTTTCAGAAAGCAGAACTCTTGTAAGATTAATCTTTCATTTGAGTTTAGGTTTAGAAATCTCACATTTTCTTTTCTCTCAAAATCTTGCAATTTCATCAAACACTTAAAAAGTAAAATGTGATAAAAGGTAAACTGAACTGGCTCCTTAATTCACTAAGAATTTTTATTTTTTTTTATTTATTTTTTTATTTTATTTATTTATTTTTTTTGAGACAGAGTCTTGCTCTGCCGCCCAGGCTGGAGTGCAGTGGCCGGATCTCAGCTCACTGCAAGCTCCGCCTCCCGGGTTTACGCCATTCTCCTGCCTCAGCCTCCCAAGTAGCTGGGACTACAGGCGCCGCCTCCTCGCCCGGCTAGTTTTTTGTATTTTTAAAGTAGAGACGGGGTTTCACCGTGTCAGCCAGGATGGTCTCGATCTCCTGACCTCGTGATCCGCCCGTCTCAGCCTCCCAAAGTGCTGGGATTACAGGCTTGAGCCACCGCGCCCGGCCAAGAATTTTTATTTTTTAGTAATCTAAGCACTAAGTAACCAGGGTGATTGATCCCTCAGCAAAACTAAAAGACAGGTGAAGCTTCTCTTTCTGCCTCTTGTTTCAGGACTGACTCCAAGCCTACCTATGCCCCATTGTCACAGACTTACTTAGACAGCAGAGGAAGGAAACCGTACGTACTAATACCAATTAAAAGTGTTCATGATGCAAAGGAATAACTTTCTCAATATTATTTAAAGTCCTATCACTGACAGAGGGGAAGAGATATGGGGCTGTGAAGACCGAATAACTTGTAAATTTAATATCCCCACAAAAGACTGATAGCTCCACAAATTTGTGACTGGTGGTTCTTAAGTTTTTTAGTTTGGTTTTCATCAAAAACCTCAGGCTAATCAGTCATATGTATCAAGAGAGTAAAACCACAATGTAATTTTCAGATTAAAAGTAAAAAATTGGCTGGGCATGGTGGCTCACACCTGTAATTCCAGCACTTTGGGAGACTGAGGCAGGTGGATCACCTGAGGTCGGGAGTTCGAGACCAGCCTGACCAACATGGAGAAACTCCATCTCTACTAAAAACCCAAAAAAAGTAGGTGGGCATGGTGGTGCATGCCTGTAATCCCAGCTACTTGGTAGGCTGCAGCAGGAGAATCGCTTGAACCCAGGAGGCAGAGGCTGCAGTGAGCCGAGATCACGTCATTGCATTCCACACTTCAGCCTGGGCAACAAGAGTGAAGAAAATGTGGCACATATACACCATGGAATACTATGCAACCATAAAAAAGGATGAGTTCATGTCCTTTGTAGGGACACAGATGCAGCTGGAAACCATCATTCTCAGCAAACTATCACAAGAACGGAAAACCAAACATCGCATGTTCTCACTTATAGGTGGGAATCGATCAATGAGAACACTTGGACACAGGAAGGGGAACATCACACACTGGGGCCTGTTGTGGGGTGGGGGAGCGGGGAGGGATAGCATTAGGAGATATATCTAATGCAAATGACGAGTTAATGGGTGCAGCACACCAACATGGCACATGTATACATATGTAACAAACCTGCACATTGTGTACATGTACCCTAGAACTTAAAGTATAATAAAAAATAAATTAAAAAGAGGAAAAAATTATAATTCCTATTCTATTCTTAATTTTTTCTCTTCTCAAATTTCACATTGATGCCAAGTATATATCTGAATGTATCAGTCTTCCATATGCTCCAAAGGAGAGAAATTTTTTCTATCTATCTATGAAATTAATGGCAGAAAACTTTCTAGCAATCCTAAGTAAACAACTTTCCTGTTAAATTAGTCAAAGTACATAAACATTTTGATGCCAGGTCCTTAGTTTCAATATTATATACTTAGGTATTCAACGAATTATGCCAAGTTAATAACTTAGAATTGCTTGCACAATAAACTGCAGTAGACTGAATACTAAACATCAATGTTTACATGACTATTAGAGGGAGGGAAAGTAACAGATATTGCCCAAAGAGGGTCACTTGCCACCAATGGCATAAGAGAAGATAACTTTCCATATCAAGCGGTTGAGTGTTCTGATTTTGAGGAACAGAAGACAACTATCCGGAGGCAGCCTGGGGAGTTGGAGAGATGAGGTCAGCAAGCACACCTCTCATCTTTATGCAGTGCCCTTGTGTAAGTTAGAATTTCCCTACACCCGCCAGCTGCCCCTACAAAAAATCTGGGTATTGCTATTTAAAATGGGCCAAATCAAGTAATTTAAGCATATCCTGGTTTTTCCTTTAAACTTATAACAAAACTTAGGTGTTAACTTCCTGTCTAGTTTGTACAATAGAAAGATAAACACAGGATTTTGATAAGGGAGTCCCAATTTTAGAATTCGTCTCTCATCAACTGAATAAGGCAGAAGTGAGTAGTGACAATCTTTAAATGAGTGCATGATACCCGTGACCTTTACTGTTACCATAAAAGATTTCATTTTGGTTTGAATGAAATAAGGTATTGGTCAAAAGGTAATATTGTAATGCTCATCAATGTCTTTACAGCTGCCCCCCTCATCATCTGTGGGTTCTGCATCCACAGATTCAACCGAGGATCAAAAATATTAGGGGAAATTTTTTTTTAAATGACAATACAATAAAAATTATACAAATTTAAAAATACAGTATAGCAACTATTCACATAGCATTTACATTGTATTAGATTTTTTTTTTTTTTTTCAAGATGGAGTCTAGCTGTAGCCTAGGCTGGAGTGCTGTCGCGTGATCTCGGCTCACTGCAACCTCCGCCTCCCAGGTTCAAATGATTCTCCTGCCTCAGCCTCCCGAGTAGCTGGGATTACAGGTGCCTGCTACCATGCCCAGCTAACTTTTTGTATTTTTATTTATTTATTTTTTGAGACGGAGTCTCGCTCTGTCGCCCAGGCTGGAGTGCAGTGGCGCGATCCCGGCTCACTGCAAGCTCCGCCTCCCGGGTTCACGCCATTCTCCTGCCTCAGCCTTCCCAGTAGCTGGGACTACAGGTGCCCGCCACCTTGCCCGGCTAATTTTCTGTATTTTTAGTAGAGACCGGGTTTCACCGTGTTAGCCAGGATGGTCTCATCTCCTGACCTCATGATCCGCCCGCCTCGGCCTCCCAAAGTGCTGGGATTACAAGCATGGGCCACCACACCTGGCCTGTAGTAGGTATTATAATGAGTAATCTAGAGATTATTTAAACTATATGCAAGGATACAAGTAGGTTATATACAGTCACGTGCTACTTAACCATGGTGACATGGTTTGGATTTGTGTCTTCGCCCAAAATCTCATGTAAAATTGTAACCCCCAGTGTTGGAGGGGTCTGGTGAGAGGGGACTGGATCATGGGGACAGAGTTTCCCCTTGCTGTTCTTGTGGTAGTGAGCAAGTTCTCACGAGATCTGGTTGTTCAAAAGTGTGTAGCACCTCCCCCTGCTCTCTATTCCTCCTTCTCAGGTCACATAAGATACACCTGCTTTCCCTTCACCTTCCGCCATGGTTTTAAGTTTCCTGAGGCCTCCCCAGCCAGGCTTCTTGTACAGCCTAAGGAACTGTAAGTTAATTAAACCTCTTTTCTTCATAAATTACCCAGTCTCAGATAGTTCTTTATAGCAATGCAAGAACGGACTAATACACATGTTGATAGGAATGTGAATATGACCTTAGGTGATTTTGATGCTGTGTGAACATCACAGAGTATACTCACACAAACCTTGATGTTATAGCCTATAACACACCTAGGCTGTATGGTATGGCTCACTGTTTCTAGACTAGAAGCCTGTATAGCACGTAACTACACTGGATACTGTAGACTAACTATAATACAATGGTAAGTATGTGTATATGTAGGCAACTATAATACAATGGTATGTGTATATCTAAACATATCTAAATACAGAAACATATAATACAGTACAGTAAAAATAAGGTATAATCTTATGGGACCATTATTCTATATTTGGTCTCTTGCTGACTAAAATATAGTTTTGCACTGCAAGACTGTCCTACACTATTTTATATAAGGAATTTCAGCATCCTCAGGGTATTGAAACCAATCCCCCTTGGATACCGAGGGATGACTAGGAAGCATCTAGAATTAGTTATTACAAGAGTTTGCAGGTTGAACTGCTGGTTCAAGGTGCACTGCCTCTGAACAAGTGCTCATTAGCTCTTCCATTTATTCCTGAAAATCCACTAAGGGAATACATCAATATAAATTGCTCCTGGCTAACACTTCTTAAAGACTTCTGATGACTCAAAGGTGGGTGGGTTGGCCAGTACCTCGAATACCAATACGTAAATATCCTCAATAAACTGTGCCTGTTAATTTTTAAATAAGTTTTAAATAACAATAAATAACAGAGGTCCTTCATATATGCCAGGCATTGTGCTAAATGCTTTGTAATGTTCATCTCAGCTAATCTCCCCAAAAGTCTTAGAGTGAGCTCTCTCTAGCGCTTTTTTTTTTTTTTGAGATGGAGTTTCACTCTGTTGCCCAGGCTGGCGTGCAGTGGCGTGAATTCAGCTCATTGCAAGTTCCACCTTCCGAGTTCACCCCATTCTTCTGCCTCAGCCGCCCGAGTAGCTGGAACTACAGGTGCACGCCACCACACCCTGCTGATTTTTTTTTTGTATTTTTAGCGAGACAGGGTTTCACCATGTTAGCCAGGATGGTCTCGATATCCTAACCTCGTGATTCGCCCGCCTCAGCCTCCCAAAGTGCTGGGATTACAAGCATGAGCCACCGCGCCTGGCCTCTAGCACTATTTTACACATGAAAAATTGAATCCGAGTTCATCCAGGGCCACACAGCTGCTAAGTGGCGGGGCTGAAGCAGAATCCAGGCAGTTCAGCATGACGGCCATGTCCTAACCCCTCTTGACTGCCTGTTTTATACCCGGACGGGGAGACCTCAGCTAACTTTTAAGACAACCTTCTTTTTTTTTTTTTTTTTCAGATGGAGTTTTGCTCTGTTGCCCAGGCTGGAGTGCAGTGGTGTAATCTCGGCTTACTACAACCTCCACCTCCCAGGTTCAAGCGATTCTCCTGCCTCAGTCTCCCGAGTAGCTAGGGCTACAGGCGTGTGCCATCATGCCCGGCTAATTTTTGTGTTTTTAGTAGAGACAGGGTTTCACTATGTTGGCCAGGCTGGTCTCGAACTCCTGACCTTGTGATCCACCCACCTTGGCCTCCCAAAGTGCTGGGATTACAGGCATGAGCCACCATGTCCGGCCCAACAACCTTCTTATGTAAAATAAGAGGCAGATAGTTTACAGGGTAGTTTACACTTTTATCATAAAAAATAAAGAATATATTTAAGTCACCAAAGTTGGAAAAGATTAGATAATATATACTTACACAGTATACTAAAGCAAACTTCTATGGCAGATAGGCTCTTACTGAGCATGCCTATTTGCTAAACCCTCTATTTACATGGATCAATTTAATTAATTTTCATATCTGCCTCTTGAGGTAGTTCTTCTCCCTAGTTTTTATTTAAAAGTGGAGGACACTGAAAATCACTTAAGTTCACTGAGGCTCAGAGGGCTAAAGAAACGTGCAAGATCAGACAGCTAGTAAATGACAGAGCCAATATTTAGAGCCATCCTCCACTGACACCAGCTTCTACAACTCTTTATACAAACTACCTCATGTTGCTCCACTCTAGCTAAGACAAAACTGCACACTCTTGTTTTTATGTTCCTTTAACAAATATGAATTTCCACATAATCAGACTCAACTATGAAAACAACTGGTTAAATGGTTAGAACATCTGATCACATGTGATCAGGTGAACAGACTGTCATATAAGCTACATCAATTTTTGCTAAAACCAGGGGACCAAGTGACTAGTCAAAAGTAAATCGACCGATGTGCCAAAGCTTCACTAGGCAGGCCTTCAGGCTTTCCATACAGGTTTCTGCAGAGAAAGCAGCAGCATCCAGAACCTTGGATTTTGAATTCAACTTACACAGTTAGTAACTGGATCATGAAAGCTTCATTTCGCATACCATTTGAGATTATGGAAAATTCTAATGTTTCTTTAATATAAGATTACTGTCTTTAGCCATCTTTTAAACAAATATAAAAATCTGAAGTGAGTTAGTTTATGAATTTTTCTATAGCTCCCCCAAATTTATATATAGCTCCTTGACTCGGAAATTCAAAAATAGGTTTTCTCTGTATGGTCCAAATTAAAATCTATTTTACGACAATATCTAATGAAACATTAGACCTTCATCCTTGTTAATGAAGTTCTTCTCACTTAATAGTTTCATAAAGTAAATTCTGCAATAAAAATGTAGAAAATACCCATGTTCTGGCATGCAATTTAATCACTAAAAAGGGAACTACAATTTTATTGCAATATTCCTTCTTTGCATCTCATCTTCCAAATTGAATTTCTCTGAAAAAATAAGCTAGATGGAAATATAAAATGTTTTAAAGATTTCCAGGCACTGGGCATGGTGGCTCATGCCTGTAGTTCTAGCATTTGAAGAGACCAAGGAAGGAAAATCACTTAAGTCCAGGAGTTTGAGACCAACTGGGCAACATAGCAAGACACCCAACTCTATAAAAAAAAAAAATTAAAAAGTTAGCTGGTGTGGTAGTACATGCCTACAGTCCCAGCTACCTGGGAGGCAGAGGCAGGAGGATCATTTGAGCCCACCAGTTTGAGGCTGCAGTGAGCCACGATCTCACAACTACTTCCAGCCTGGGTGACAGAGTGACTCTATCTCTAAAAAAAATAATAATTAAAAAAAGATGCACAGGATAAAAGTTACAATACATACCCATATTGTAAAAATATTTTAATAGTTCAAAATAAATATGAAAGTATGGTAAGTTGATTCCTTTCCCCAACCCACCTTGCTGTCAAGGTTCTTCATGGTTAAGAGATCAAGTGTCTTCAGAGAGTGGCCTGTCGGTGAAATGAAGTAGAGGCACACATGGATGCGAGAATCATGGTAGGTAAAGAGAGAACGCTTAATCTTCAGCTCTTCTTGGAGATAGGCCTCAAACTGAGCATCTATGTAGTCAACTATTGGTTGGTAGCTGAAAAATTATTTAAATGTTTAATACAACATTATTTGTGCTACCTTAAGATATCTGTGCAACTCTTGGAAGTTTGAGGTCTATATTTTCATTGATTAATAAACAGTTAATATCTATGCTGAACAGATAACTGTAGTGATAAAAAAATGTGCAGAACATGCACAAAAGCTATACAAATGCTTCTCAACTTACAATGATGTTACATCATGATAAATCCATCACATAAGCTGAAAATATTAGCTGAAATGCATTTAATATCTGAATAAACCTATCATAAAGTTGAGAAATCATTAAGTCAAACTCTCCTAAATTCAGTATCATTTGTACTTCCAAAACCGTTAGGGCAATCTGTGCTTGAAACGGTATTGAATTTACATTGATTCATTCTCACAGTCATTCACACGCTGGGTCCCTTTCTGACATAGCTTCCCACACTTACCAGACTGCTGAAAGAGGCTGGCAGCAGTCTAATTTGTAATCAAACTGGTACATGGCTTATTATTTAACTAATTGAGAAAATGCATAGGTATCAATACTCAAAAGATATTTAAGTCAAAGTCCATGACTCTTTGCCTCTTAGATTTATAAGGCACGAAAAGCATAAGTAAAGAAGAAAGGCATACATCAGCTGAAAGTATCTAACTAGCAATGCTGGCATGTTTTTATTTTCATTTGATTATAAATAAAGGAAAGGCCAATTATATCCTCTGCTCAGATAACTCCTCCCTGGAAATGCAGTCTTCCTTCTGGCTGTCTCATGTTATTCAGCCTTCAAGATGCAAATCAAATCACAGTGCATGTGCAGAGCAGTGTGCTAATGCTGTTCCAAGAAGAGTCTGTGAGCATTCCAAGTTCTGATATGTTAAACCACTGCCTTTGCAACTTACTTTTCTACTCTTAACTATTCTCATTAAACAAATCTGGGTTTCCAAGTGAAAATAACAGCAAACAGTTCCCATGTCAAATTCCCTGGAAACCTCTGTAATATCCTTCTAGCCCTATAATGAACCAGTACCTTGAGCAGCTGAGGTACTTAATAAATGTGTACAGAATTAAATTCTTCTATAAAGTTGCCTGACCTTCTAGTCCTTGAGGATCATCACTTCTTTTAAAATTATAGAATACACATTGTTCTCCCTATGCAAATGGTAAACAATGTGAGGACTGAGACAGTATCTTATACATCTGTGTTTTCCACTACAACTAGCATAGGCTAGGCTCAGTGGCTCACATCTGTAATCCCAATGGTTTGGGAGACCAAGGCAGGAGGATCACTTGAGGCCAGGAGTTCAAGAACAGCCTGGGCAACAACACAGCAAGACCCCCTAAAAAATTTTAAAAATCAGCCAGGCATTGTGAGGTGCCTATAGTCCTAGCTACTTGGGAGGCTGAGACGGGAGATCCCTTAAGCCCAGAAATTCAAAGCTGCAGTGGGCTGTGATTGTGCCACTGCACACCAGCCTAGGTGACAAAGCAAGATTCTTAAAAAAATTCATTTAAACACAGGGTCTTGCTGTGTTGCCCGGGCTGGTCTTGAACTCCTAGCCTGAAGCAATCAACCTGCCTTGGCCTCCTAAAGCACTGGGATGACAGGCATGAGCCACCACATCCAGCCTCAAAAAATGATATTTTTTTAACAAGTAAATAAATTAAATAAATAGCATAAAACCTTGAACATTACAAGAATTCAATTCATCATCAGAGTGATTATTAAAACAACAGTAAGTGATCCTTCAGAAAGTGGTCTAAATGTGACCCAATAGGATTCACTTCTCAAAACAATAAAATGGGAAAAATTAATCTGTTAAGTATATATTTCAAATAAACATTCCAAAGAAGCTTTTATTAATGACCTGAAATAGGTCAGTAAGAGGACCTATTATATGACCTAAATAAATAACCATAAATGTACCTCTATCTGAATGTTTTGTCTTATGCTATTCAAGAATGAAAACTGTAAAGATTTTCTGCTAAATAAATAATATGCCATTCTTTCATAATCTGGACAAAAAGATAAAAAATATGAATCAGAGAGATTAAAAGACACAAGATATAATGAGAAGATCTAACACACATTTCATCAAAGTTTTCAAAGAAAAAGGGGCAGAGGCAATATTTACAGAAGAAATGTCTGAGATTTTTTAAAAAGAACTGATGGACACTATTCAGAATCAAGAACTCAAACATATCACAAGCAGCGTAAATTAGAAATAATAAAAACCCAGATACAGCATAGCAAAATTGGAGAACAATAAAAACAAAGATCTTAAAAGCACTGGAGGAAAAAAAGGAGAGAACCCTTAAGGGTGACTCCTTAATAGCAAAGATGGAAGCCAGGAGAGAGTGGAATGATATTTCCAATGCAAGAAAGAAAATAACTGGCAACCCAGAATTGTATATCCAACTAAAATTTCAAGTATGTGAGTAAAACAGAAATTTTTGGTTAATAAATGGTAATAAACATATACTGGTCATATAATAATACCTTGTGTAGTTAAAAAATAGAGAACTCGGCCAGGCATGGTTGCTCACTGTAACTCTAGCACTTTGGGAGGCCAAAGTTGGAGGATTACCTGAGGTCAGGAGTTCAAGACCAGCCTGGCCAACATGGTGAAACCCTGTCACTACAAAAATACAAAAATTAGCCAAGCATGATGGCGGGTGCCTGTAATCCCAGGTACTCAGGAGGCTGAGGCAGGAGAACTGCTGGAGTGCAGGAGGTAGAAGTTGCAGTGAGCCAAGATCACTTCATTGTACTCTAGCCTGGGTGACAGAGTGAGACTCCACCTCAAAAATTAAAAAAAAAAAAAAAAAAAGAAAAAGAGAGAGAGAACTTGGTCAGATAGTGGCTCATGCCTGCAATCCCAGCACTTTGGGAGGCCAAGGCAAGAAGATTGCTTGAGGCCAGGAGTTTGAAATCAGCCTGGCCAACATGGCAAAATCCCATCTCCACTGAAAATACAAAAATTAGCTGGTGGGGTGGCGTGTGCCTGCAGTCCCAGCTACACAGGAGGCTGAGGCTTAAGAATCACTTGAACCCAGGAGGGGGAGGCTACAGTAAGCCGAGATCGCACCACTGCACTTCAGCCTGGGTAATGGAGTGAGACTTTGTCTCAAAAAAATAAAATAAAATAAAAAGAGAGAGAGAGAGAGAGTTAGTATATAATAGCAATCAGGAGAAGGGATTAACAAAATTTAACTGTTCTAAATTTAATTTCATTGTCTATTTGTATTATCAAGGAGAAGTATAAACATTCATCTTCAACCTTAAGTGAAAGATTATATGTGATAATGTGTAAGAGAACAGGACCCCTACGTTTTACCATAAACAAAAATTAACTCAAGATGGATTAAAGACTTAAATGTAAGACCTCAAACAATAAGAATCCTGGGAGAAACCCTAGAAAACACCATGCTGGACACTGGCCTTGGAAAAGAATTTACGATTAAGTCCTCAAAAGCAAAGGCAACAAAAACAAAAATTGTCGGGTGGGACCTAATTACACTAAAGAGCTTCTACATAGCAAAACAAACCATCATCAGAGTAAACACACAACCTACACAATGGGAGAAAATTTTTACAAACTATACATCCAACTATAGTCTAGCAGCCAGAATCTGTAAGAAACTAACAATTAAACAAGGAAAAAACAACCCCATTAAAAAGTGGCCAAAAGACATGGACATACAAGCAGCAACAAACATGAAAAAATGCTCAACATAACTCATCAGAGAAATGCAAATCAAAACCACAATGACATACCATCTTACAACAGTCAGAATGGCTATTATTAAAAAGTCAAAACACAGCAGATACTGGCGAGACTGTAGAGAAAAGGAAATGCTTGTACCCTGTTGGTGGGAATGTAAATTAATGCAGCCACTGTGGAAAGCAGTTTGGAGATTTCTCGAAGAACTTAAAACAGAACTACGATTCGACCCCGCTATTCCAACTTAGAATATATCCAAAAGAAAATACATCGTTCTACCAAAAAGACACATGTACTTGTATGTTCATCATAGCTCTGTTCACAATAGCAAAGACATGGAATCAACCTAGCTGCCCATTAACGTGGACTGGATAAAGCAAATGTGGTACACACATACCATGGACTCCTACACAGCCATAAAAAAGAACAAAATCAAGTCTTTTGTAGCAACATGGATGAAGCTGGAGGCCGTTATCCTAAGCAAATTAACTCAGGAACAAAAAACCAAATACCATATGTTCTCACTTATAAGTAAGTGGGATCTAAACATTGGGTTAAAGTGGGATCTAAACATTGAGTACACATGGATATAAAGATGGCAACAACAGACACTGGTGACTACTAGAGTGGGAAGGGAGAAGGGGGTAAAGGCTGAAAAATTAACTACTGGTACTATGCTCACTACCTGGGTAACTGGATCACTTGTACCCCAAACCTCAGCATCACACAATATACCCATGTAACAAACCTGCAATTGTACCCCAAATCTAAACGAAAATTTGAAATTGTTTTTTAAAAGGAAAAAAAAATACTTATAAAAATGGAAATAAGACTGGGAGCAGTTGCTCACGCCTGTAATCCCAGCACTTTGGGAGGCCGAGGCCGGTGGATCGCCTGAGGTCAGGAGTTCGAGACCAGCCTGGTCAACGTGGTGAAACCCCCGTCTCTACTAAAAACACAAAAAAATTAGGTGTGGTGCCAGGTGCCTGTAATCCCAGGTACTTGGAAGGCTGAGGCAGGATAATCGCTTGAACTGGGGAGGTGGAAATTGCAGTGAGTTGAAATCACGCCACTGTACTCCAGACTGGGTGACAGAGCGAGACTCCTCAAAAAAAAAAAAAAAAAAAAAATTGAAATTCATTTCAAAAAAGAAAATGAAACAAAAAGTTATTGCTTTAACAATCCTTTTCCCCCTTTTATAGTTTAAATTTGATACAGAATCTCTACTCAATCTTTATATGAGCTTAGGAGAAATATGAAAAGAAATAGAGACATCAGGTAAAATATAAATTAAAATTTCACTATCAAAACTTTCCTGCAATGATTATTAATTTAACTGGCTAATTTGATTAGAATTTTACAAAAAATTCACGCATCAGGTATTTGGCCATTGTCTATAATTGTTCTTACATGTCTTATTTTTTTTTTCTTCAAGGAGATAAGCCCTGCCTGAAAATTAGTATAATTAATATACATTTAATTTGCATGTCAGGAAATAATTAAAGCTACTTTTGCTGAAATGCACATTTTAATAAGGTGATTCAAATTATTCTAAAGAAATTAGACAAATGGATAGAAAAATGTCAATGTGCTAATAAGAACAAAATATTGCTTAATTATTTTATTGTTAAAAATTAATGTATGGAAGGAAAGGTATGGATTACCATAGGAGAAAATCAAATCATAGTTCATAGGGCTATAAGGCAAATGTCTTGAAATAAGAAAAACTTGTTTTATTACAAGAAGAAAACACGTACCTCTCTTCTTTATTTATTTGGTCACCAAATCCCACTGTATTCACAATGGTCAATTTCAATCGAACATTACTTTCCTGGAGTTCATATGTCTGAGCTTTAAGTTTAACATTTGGGCAAAAATGTGAGGATTCATAGTCTTCAAAATTAGTATTAAACAATGTGTCAATCAGTGTTGATTTTCCAATTCCAGTTTCCCCTGAAACACACAAAGGTACATCTTTATGGTTGTACGAATGGCTGAAAAGAAATACAACTGTAAATGCCTAGAGTGGTTTCAAAGATCCCAAGTATTTCAAAGGCCAGGGTGCACATGAAAGAAATACACACTATGGCTGGTCCCCCAGGTCATTAGCAGAGCACAGAGTAAGTGTGCTAAGCTACTCAGGACTCTGACAACAACACTGAAATGTTTATAGAACAAGCCAAAAGTTTAAAGCTAACAAAAACAAAACTAACAGAATCTAAACAACTGAAGAGAATCCCTGGGATCATGATTTCAAATTGATAACATAAGCATCGTTCTGCCCATGACAAGAATGAAGTGAGTACAAGGAATATGAAGGAACAACTTAGAGGAAGATAAGGTGGCACGTACCCACACAGAGAATATTAAAACAGAAACCTTGCTGAATGGATCTGTTCACCAGCTGATCAGGCAAACTCTCAAAACCAACATGGCCAGACATAGTCAAGGAACGAACGTTTTCTCTTTTCTGAAGGAAAATAAGAACAAAAACAACAGCAATAATAACAGTAATAAAAAACTTTGACTTAAATAGGATGTAGGTGTACTTGAAAGGATAAATATATCAAATAAATGAAAAATTTTATAATCATTATACCTAAGATACAAGTGATTAAGTAAATTTTCAGGAAAAGAAACCTGTGTCCAAATCCTCAAAACACACATTTCTTATCCCTTTCATACAACGAGAGTCTAGCACTATGTGTAACATTTCCAAAATAGGAAAATATCCAACTATGGCATATTCACTTACAAAATAAAAAGTTAAAGTCCATTTGTTTATAAATTTTTAACAACTTAGAAAATTCTTACATTAAAATGCCAAGTGAAAAAAAAAATACACAACAAAAGTACAGATACAGGTTCAGCTCCCGGTAATGACAGAGTAACTTAGGTCAAACTTATCCGCCTACTGATAACTATTACAAGCAACCTTTTTAAGTCACTAGAGTGCAACCAAAGGCAGATAGACACTGGACAGAATAAGACTAGAGGGAAGAAAACTTATCAGGTGAGATGAGTTTATCTAGCTTTTCCCCTGAAGACACTCCCTAGTCATTATGGCAAAAGGAAGATAGAGTTCAGGAGGGAAGTTATAGTCTTCATGGGTTAAGATGTCCATTGGAGATTGGGGCAGGCAGATTGGTTGGGAATTCAGGGAGAAAATTCCAGAAAGAAGGGAATCCAAAATCTACAAACACACTCCACTCAAATCCATGGCTGATGGCCAAACTGCACACATATAGAGGGAATACAAAGATCCCAGAAAGGGGAAAATGGGAATTGGGAGGAGTTATGCAGAGTTTTCAAGTGCCATCTTGAGGAGATGAACAGAGCTTAAATTTTAAGCCTGTAAATTAAACGGTCTCCTGTAAACACCCTAGCCTTCTACTGAAACCCTAGGAGTAAGGTCCATAACTCAGCAATCAGAAAGCATAGCTGAAGCAGACGTGCCTTAACAAAGCCTTTAACAAGGCTCAACATGATCGATGTGATCAGTCAGCAATTTAATTATCTGTCAGAACAAAGTTCAACATTCTGCAGAAGAAAACAGAATCTAGCATCTCCATAGTATCTACTATATAATAAAAAATATTATGACAGGGGAAAAAAACAGAAAAATGTGATTCATGGTCAAGAAAGAAAGTCAACAGAAAGAGATCCACAATGAACCAGATGTTTAATTAGCAGGTAAGAACTTCAAATAATGACAACAAATATGCTAAAGAATCTACAGAAAAAAGACGGCTATCATGGGTGGCATGACAGGGAATTACAGAAAGATATGAAAGAGCTCGCAACAGCAAAAAGCAGCAGACAATTTCTAGAATGTAAAAATGCAACATCTGAAGTAAAAAATATATTTAGTACTAACAGCAGAACAAATAATGGAAGAGACATTTGTTCAGTAGTTATCCAAGCTAAAAATCTCACAGAAAGAAAAAAGATAAAACTATGCCAGTCTTAAAAACTTGCATGAGAGTATCAAATGGTCTAACACACCAGTAATTGGAATACAAGGAGAAAAGTTAGAGAAAGAGGAGAGAAGGTGAAAGTGTGGGGTAGGAGGGAGGAAAAAAAAATCTAAGTAATAGTGACTGAAAACTTTCTAATTTTCTAAACTTGAACTCAGAACAAGAATTTTAGCAAACTACAAAGAGGAAATATCCAAAGGAACCCACATCTAGGGACATCACAGCAAACTGCTAAAAAACAAAGATAATGAAAACTTTAGGCCCGGCACGGTGGCTCATGCCTGTAATTCCATCACTTTGGGAGGCCGAGGCAGGTGGATCATGAGGTCAGGAGATTGAGACCATCCTGGCTAACATGGTGAAACCCTGTCTCTACTAAAAATACAAAAAATTAGCCAGGTGTGGTGGCGCACACCTGTAGTCCCAGCTACTCAGAAGGCTGAGGCAGGAGAAACGCTTGAACCTGAGAGGTGGAGGTTGCAGTGAGCTGAGATTGCACCACTGCACTCCAGCCTGGGTGACAGAGCGAGACTCCATCTCAAACAACAACAACAACAACAACAACAACAACAACAACAACACGAAAATTACCCAGGCGTGGTGGTGCCTATAATCCCAGCTACTCGGGATGCTGAGGTGGGAGGATCACTTAAACTCAGGAGGCAGACATTGCAGTAAGCTACAGATGTTGCTTAAGAAACAATGCAAACCAGAAGACAAAACAATAACCCCTATAAAATGCCAGAAAAAAAAAAAAAAAGACAATGTAGAATTCTATAGCCAACAAAAACATCCTTCAAAAATGAAGGCAAAATGAAGACAACTTCAGATAAATAAAATCTGAGAAAATCCACTGACAGTTGGCCCACGGTATAAGAAATGATAAAAGTTCTTCAAGAGAAAGGAAAATGACAACAGATCTACAAAAAGGAATGAAGATCATCAGAAAGGTAAATATGTGGGTAAATGTAAGAGAGGTTTTTTTTACTTCTTGAAAATAGAAATGTTTAAAGCAATAACAAAAACAATGTGTTACAGGCTACATGCACAAGTAAAATGTATAAGAAACACAAAATACAGGAGGAGGACTGAAGGAATATTGTTATAAGGTTTCTACAGTATACATAAAGTGTTACATATATAAATTTTTTTTTTTGAGATGGAGTTTTGTTCTTTTGCCCAGGCTGGAGTGAAGTGGTGTCATCTTGGCTCACTACAACCTCCGACCACCAGGTTCAAGGGATTCTCCTACCTCAGCCTCCCGAGTAGCTGGAATAACAGGCGCCCACCACCATGCCTGGGTAATCTTTGTATTTTTAGTAGAAATGGGGTTTCACCATGTTGGCCAGGCTGGTCTAAAACTCCTGACCTCAGGTGATCCATTCACTTCAGCTTCTCAAAGTGCTAGGATTACAGGCGTTGAACCACCGTGCTGGGCTAAAATTTTATATTGTCTGAAGGTTGGGTGTGGTAAGTTAGAGCCTAGGTCAATTACTATAAAAAAAAAAAAAAAAAAAAAAAAAAAAAAAAAGCCAAAGAGGCATAGCTAATAAGCCAAAAGCAGAAATGAAATGGAGTCATAAAAATTCTCTATTAATCCAAAAGAAGGTAGGAAAGAAGAAAACGAAAGGACAAGGGCACATATAGAAAACTAGTTATCAAGAAAATGTACAATGTCCACCTCCCGAGTTTAAGTGATCCTCCCACCTCAGCCTCCCGAGTAGTTGGGATTATAGGTGCCACCACGCCTGGGTAATTTTCGTGGTTTTTTTTGTTTGTTTGTTTTTGTTGTTTGTTTGTTTTGTTTTTTGTTTTTTGTTTTTGAGATGGAGTCTTGCTCTGTCACCCAGGCTAGAGTGCAGTGGTGTGATCTCGGCTCACTGCAACCTCCACCTCCCAGGTTCAAGCAGTCAGGTCAGGCGCGGTGGCTCACGCCTATAATCTCAGCACTTTGGGAGGCCAAGGCAGGCAGGTTACTTGAGGTCAGGAGTTTGAGACCAACCGGACCAGCATGGCAAAACCCCATCTCTACTAAAAATACAAAAATTAGCTGGGCATGGTGGTGCATGCCTGTAGTCCAGCTACTCAGGAGGCTACAGCATGAGAACCGCTTGAACCTGAGGCAGAGGCTGCAGTGAGCCAAGATCCTGCCATTGAGCTCCAGCCTGTGCAACAGAGCAAGACTCTGTCTCAAAAAAATTCATAAAAATAAAAATAAATAAAAAGTAAAATTGAATATCCAACAAAACAGCTAAAATAAAAAGGCTGAACATGTCAAGTGATAGAGATAATGAAGAACTGGAATGCTGGTAAATTTGCTAGTCTGAATGCAAAATGGTACAGTTGCTTTGGAAACTAGCTTGGCAGTTTCTTATGAAGTTAAAAACATGCTATTATATAGCCAAAAAAAACCCGCTTGGAGGCATCCAAAATAATGAAAATATATGTCCACACAAGAACTTATGCATCAATGTTCACAGCAGTTTTATTCCCAATGGTCAAAAACTGGAAACATCCCAAATATCAAACAAGTGGTGAATAGATAAATTGTAGTATACTAAACTACTGATATATGTCACAACATGGATGACGAGCTAGGTATCCCGACAGTGATTTATTTACTGAGGTTTGAGTTTTTAAAAATACGCATTATGTGCATTTTTCACATAATCATATATTCATACACATACACACACACACACACACACACACACACACACAGAGATGTAAATGTCTCAAAGGGTGATGACAGACTATTGAGAGTGGTTACCAGTCAGCAGTAGACTAACAGACTGCGGTGAGAAGAAATCGCTGTTTATTGTACATAGTGGGCAAAATTCTGAGATGGTCGCTAACACTGATGCCCCTGGTGCACACAAACTTTCTCCCAGTTATTAAATCAAATGCTAATCTAGGTGTCACAGAGAAGAGATTTTACAGAATGATTAAGTTCCCAAACCAGTCAGTCAGCCTTCGAAAGGGAGATTATCCTGGGTGGGGGCCAGACCTAATGAGGTAAATCATTTTTTGTTTTGTTTTTTTTTTCTTTTGAGACAGAGTTTTTGCTCTGTTGCTCAGGCTGGAGTACAATGATGTGGTCTCAGCTCACTGCAACCTCTGCCTCCTGGGTTCAAATAATTCTCCTGCCTCAGCCTCTCAAGCAGCTGGGATTATAGGTCCTTGCCACCATGCCCACCTAATTTTCGTATTTTTAGTAGAGACAAGGTTTCACCATGTTGGTCAGACAGGTCTCGAACTCTTGACCTCAGGTGATCCACTCACCTGGGCCTCCCAAAGTGTTAGGATTACATGTGTGAGCCACTGTGCCCGGCCATGAGGTAAATCCTTAACAGGGCCTGGACACTTCCTGGCCAAAGACTTGAAGCATGAAGGGAACTCCACCTGCCAGTTCTCCCTTGCTGGCTTTCAGAATGGAATGGTCTCTAGGAGCTGACAACAACCCCCAGCCAGTAGGGAACTGAATTCTGCCAACAACCGGAAAGAGTATGGAAGGAAAGCCTCCAGATAAGAACCCAGCAGCTGACCTCGTGAGCATGAAACCCAGAGCAGAGAAGGCAGATGGGTCACATCTGGCCTTTGACCTACAGAACTGTGAGCTAACAAACAGATGCTGTTTTAAGCAGCTAAATTTGTGACGATTTGTTATGCAGCAACAGAAAACTAGTATACTATATTCTCTTTTGTGCCGTTTGAATCATTTTTAGTCATGTAAGCATGTTATCCTCATATATTTTTAAAGAGCACTGAAGAAGCACTAGGCTTCTTCCTCGTGAAAGTGTTCAAGATGATAAGAACTTCATAACTTGTTAAAGTTGCTATCTGATAGGCATATGCTTATTACATACAAGTTGAACTAAATGGCCTCTAGGATTCCTTCTAGTTCTACAATGACAGGATTTTAATGCCACCAGAAAAAAGAAGTATTTCAAAAATGCCCCACGATGTAACACAGAAGAGGGGCCAGGGAAAAAGAAACTAAGCTAACAGTCACCGGATGGACTAGTCACTAAAGATTACTAGTGACTCTGACAGTAATCTCTGGAGGATTAAACATCATTCAAAAAGTCTGTGAGGAAGATGGAACAGACTGTTAGTACCATTGATATATGGAGAAAGAGGGAAAAACAAGAAGAGACTACAGTTATTGGAACACAGAACTAAAGAAAATTATTTAATCTTATTGAATTACTGTCCAGGTGTGGTGGCTCATGCCTGTAATCCAAGTGCTTTGGGAGGCAGAGGCAGATGGATCACTTGAGGCCAGGAATTCGAGACCAGCCTAGCCAACGTGAGCAAAACCCCGCCTCTAATAACAATACAAAAATTGGCCGAGTGTGGTGGCATATGCCTATAACTATAGCTATTTGGGGGGTTGAGGCATGAGAATTGCTTGAACCTGGGAGGTGGAGGTTGAGTGAGCCGAGATTGCACTACTGCACTCCAGACTGGGCAACAGAGCGAGCGAGACTCTGTCTCAAAAACAAACAAAATAAAAAACAACTTACTGAATTACCCATGTTTGTATTTGCAATTTTCTTTCTAGCTAAAGTTTAAAATGTTCCTCTTTCACCAAATTAAATTTACTTCCTATTTTTAAATACAAATTTCAATATAAATTACCAAACCCCTCCCTGGAGATCCTTAGAAGAATCAGGTCTAATCTTGTATCAGGGAGGCATCTGGCAGGACCACCCAAGGGCTCCCTAAACTCTGCCATTCACAGGAGTTCTATCAAACCCCTCCCTGGAGATCCTTAGAAGAATCAGGTCTAATCTTGTATCAGGGAGGCATCTGGCAGGACCACCCAAGGGCTCCCTAAACTCTGCCATTCACAGGAGTTCTATGCACCCACCACATTCTGCAGTGTGCTCAAAAAAACAACAACAACAACAACAGCTGGGCGTGGTGGCTTACGCCTGTAATCCCAGCACTTTGGGAGGCTGAGGTAGGCAAATCACTTGACGCCAGGAGTTCGAGACCAGACTGGGCAAACTGGCAAAACCCCATCTGTACTAAAAATACAAAAATCAGCCAGGTGTGGTGGCACACACCTGTAATCCCAGCTACTTGAAAGGCTGAGGCATGAGAACTTCTTGAACCCAGGAGGCAGAGGTTGCAGTAATCTGAGATTGCACCATCACATTCCAGCCTGGGCAAGAGAGCAAGGCTCTGTCTCAAAAAAGAAAAACAAACAATGAATGAAAAAAAGAAACAGGGCTGGGCGTGGTGGCTCATGCCTATAATCCTAGCCCTTTGGGAGGCTGAGGTGGGCAGATCACTTAAGGTCAGGAGTTCAAAACTAGTCTACCAACATGGTAAACCCCATCTCTACTAAAATACAAAAAAAATTAGCTGGACGTGGTGGCAGTCACCTGTGATCCCAGCTACTCGGGAGGCTGAGGCAGGAGAATTGCTTGAACCCAGGAGGCAGAGGTTGCAGTGAGCCGAGATCACACCACCCCACTCCAGCCTGGGCGACAGAGCAAGACTCCGTCTAAAAAAAAACAGAAAAAAAAAATGTCCTTAATGTCAGAATATTGTGTATACTCAATTATTCAATCCATCATCGACTTTTCACTTGAATCAACAGAAAAATTAATTCATGTTGGAGGTGAGTACAAACAGAAGTCTCTATCACAAGAGTCTATGAGCACTCCAAGTAGTTATTTTAAAATCATAGAAGCATTTACAGTACAATATGGTATCTATTTAAAAGACATACTCACTCTCTGTTCATCATCAGATCCTTGTGAAGACATACAAGTTGTTTTCGTTGCCATGTGAGACTGAAAGAGCTAAAAAAGGAATACAAAGGCTTAAAAGGAAACAGAAACATTACTCCCCAAAACCCAGTATCTAAATAATATATTTACATGAATAAGGTGTTATAATACTGTTGTTATCACCAAGTTTTGAAGTGTAGTCTACATTATTGAATCATGTTTGAAATTGTGGCCTTCTTGCTGGATAGGTATCTACATAAGTAAATTACATATAATATTCAACACATATGGTAATATACTTACACACAAAAAAATTGTAAGAAATTAGTAAACTTCCATTTACAAGTAGGGAGACAACTTTTTTTTTTTTTTTTTTGAGATGGTGTCTTGCTGTGTCACCCAGGCTGGAGTGCAGTGGTGTGATCTCAGATCACTGCAACCTCCATCTCCTGGGTGTAAGTGATTCTCCTGCCTCAGCCTCCTGAGTAGCTGGATTACATGCATGCGCCACCATGCCTGGCTAATTTTTGTATTTTTAGTAGAGACGGGGTTTCACCATGTTGGTCAGGCTGGTCCCGAACTTCTGACTTCACGATCTGCCCGCCTCGGCCTCCCGAGCACTCCCTGCTCGGATTACAGGCGTGAGCCACCACACCCTGCCTTTTCATTTTTAAAGATACTCTAAGAGCCATGAAGTCCCTCAAAATTAGGTATGTTCCACTGTAGCGTGTCAGAGGAAACATAAATGTCAAGAATGCTACAATTGCAGTGTGGTGGGGAAAGCAGGGATTTTATAATTTTAACAACTACCTTTGTCACTAACATAATCATTTATAGAACTCATATTACACATCCATATCACTATGCTAGCTCGTTAAGTTCATTTTCTTATTTAATCTTTACAATACATCTGAGCTACACGTAGTATTATTCCCACAGCCTAGATGAAAAAATTCGGATTCTGAAAGGTTGAGTAATTTACCCGAAATCATACAAGCCAGTAGGGTGTAGACATAGGTCTGATTTGACTGCCAAACTGGTGTTCCTTCTGCTGCCCCAAGTTGTAAACCAAATGGATATTCACTGTTCCCAACAGTAGAGAATGAGGGAAGAGAGGTACAAGAAAAACTGTACTAATTCCAAGGTACTGCTATCCTACTTCTGAATACAGCACAAGATACTGAGGAAACGTCACATTATTTAAAAAGTAGTATTAATATTGGTAAAAAAATTGCAAATGGTACCAATGAGAATACAGTGCACATTACTCCCTTCCCACTCTTGATTCTCTAGTAGCTCAGCGCTCTTCCCGAGAGGCACCAGACCCTTACGCATCCTTCCAGAGAGAGGCTGTGCATGTCTAAGCAGGCCTCCTTTGTTTATATAAATGGTAGCTGTCTACTGCTCTGTGCTGTGGTTTTTTTTGCTGAATCTTTCTGAGACTGTTTCGCCGTACTATTTAGATCTACCTCATTCTTTCTACAGCATAGTGTTCTCCTCTGTGTACTACAGTGTGGTATATATACAGACGCTCTTCATTGAGACTGTCCTTTCCTCTGTACTTACAATGAACCATGCTGCAACAAATGGCACTGCAATGAAAGACAGAACTTGGGTGCTCCCACCACCTCACCCTGATCCTCTGCGTGCACACACACAGTGAATGAATCCTACACAGACAAAATAGTGCACATCGTGACTGACAACAATCTTTTGCTGGTACATTTTGATAAAATAGGCTGACCTTGTAACTGAACACTCCGAATAACAGTGTTTTTTTTGTTTTGTTTTGTTTTGTTTTGAGACAGAGTCTCGCTCTGTCACCCAGGCTGGAGTGCAGTGGCGCAATCTCAGCCACTGAAACCTCTGCCTCCCGGGTTCAAGCAATCCTCCTGCCTCAGACTCCCAAGCAGCTGGAATTACCAGCAAGCGCCACCACACGTGGCTTATGTTTGTATTTTTAGTAGAGATGGGGTTTTCACCACGTTGGCCAGGGTGGTCTCAAACTCCTGACCCAAGTGATCCTACCGCCTTGGCCTCCCAAAGTGTTGGGATTATAGGCCTGAGCCCCCGCGCCCAGCCAACAGTGTTTTCAAATACTAAGTTTTTCTAACACAAAATGATGTTTGTCAGTTGGAAGATGCTCCTATAGAAAAGCATGCAAAAGCTCAGTGAGGGACACAATGGTCCTGGTTGTGTTTTCACAATCTGAAAAGTGAAAAGTATGTAATGATACAAAGCACATCAGAGACTAGCCTGATTTTAATACCTGGCCTCAGGCTTTAGCTTTTAACTACACATATACTTCACTTACACCCTGCCATTCTGAAAGGCCCCCCAATCCCAGTCACCATGTGGTACCTAAGCAGTATCACATCCCTCTAGTCTGTAGAATACAAGCAAAGTGAGAGCCCCTGGAAACAAACAGTGGTGGTTACAGAAATTTGGAGAAATTAGAGACCACTGAAGGCAGGAGTCAAAGAAGAAAATGACTTTGAAGTGAGTCAGGAAAGAGGTACAGATCTAGATGAGACATTTAAGGTAGAAAAAAAAATCCCTAAATACCACAAGGCAGAATTTCGTACTAGAAGAAAACACAGTAAGTGCAAGAATTTGATGGAAAAAAGGAACAGATTAGGGACAATACCTGAATGGCAGACTGAGTAAACCAGAAGTGTCCATTTAGAGTCTGACTTTCTGCTAAAGGCTAAGAAGTGCCACAGATAATATTTGGCTAGGGGCCCTGTTCAGAGCCCTGCACTAGACACAATGAGGAGTAGGGTAGAACATTCCATGCTTGTCGTTAATTCCGGACCTAACATACTACCTGCTTGCCTCTCAGCATCTGTCTCTACTATAAGTGATGTACTACACATATAATTCACCGAGGCTGTATTATTTTGACTTGTCAAGTATAGAACTTTAAGGAAAAGTTTAATTTTAATTTTATTTTAGAGACAAGATCTCCCTCTATTGCTTAAGCTGGAGTGCAGTGGTGCGATCACAGCTCGCTGCAGCCTCAACCTCCTGGGCTAAGGGGATCCTTCCACATCAGTCTCCCAAATAGCTGCAACTACAGGCACGCACCACCACACGCGGCTGAAAATCAAACTTTAAAAATTACTGATAAAAAAGTGGTTTTTAGTTTTTAATATAGTGATGCTATATGATCAGCATATGATGAGTTTTGGTAAAATGCTGCTTAGTGTTGATAAGTAAAATTTGCTTAGAAAAAAATTAGAGGCTTTAGGCTGGGCGCTGTGGCTCACGCCCGTAATCCCAGCACTTTGGGAGGCTGAGGCAGATGGATCACGAGATCAGGAGATTGAGACCATCCTGGCTAACATGTGAAACCCCATCTCTACTAAAAATACAAAAAAATTAGCCAGGTGTGCTGGTGGGCGCCTGTAGTCCCAGCTACTTGGGAGGCTGACGCAGGAGAATGGTGTGAACCCAGGAGGCGGAGCTTGCAGTGAGCTGAGATCACGCCATTGCACTCCAGCCTGGCAGATAGCGAGACTCCGTCTCAAAACAAAAAAGAGAAAAAAGAAAAAAGAAAAAAATTAGAGGTTTTATACTCATTTACCATTAAATTTAAATAAAATACAGGTTAAATTTCTGTCATTTATGTAAGTTCATATCAAATATCTGCTTTTGTTTATTGATTTACTGTGTTTCTGAACATCTGCCAAAAAGCCTACATAAAATCTCAGTGGATGAATGTTTTGATCAGGAAGTTTAAATGAGTCACATTAAAGTAATATGAATAATTATTTCAAATATTTTCCACTAGTACTACTTGGTCAGTTAAATTTCCAAAACAAGTTTAATACTGGAAAAGGTTTGAATTTTTTTTTAATTTATTAACTTAGTTATTTTTGAAACAAGTTCTGGCTCTGTCACCCAAGCTGGAGTGCAGAGGCACGATCTTGGCTCACTGCTGAGATCCTCCACCTCCCAGGCTCAAGCTATACTCCTGCCTCAGCCTCCTGAGTAGATGGGACCACCAGCACATCCCAGTATGCCTGGCTAAATTTTTTGTAGAGACGAGGACTCACTCTGTTGCCCAGGCTGGTCTCGAACTCCTGAGCTCAAGCAACTTGTCTGCCTCAGCCTCCCAAAGTGCTAGGATTATAGGCATGAGCCACCGTGCCCGGCTGGAAAAGGTTTTTAATAAATTAGCAGGAAAAATAACAATAGGACAAGTGTTGGCTGAATCCCTCTAATGGCAAACAGAGCTCTGTGTAGGGCTAAGAAACACTAAATTAGAAAAAAATTAAAAATCTGCCAAGAAGAATTCTGGCCTGCTCTACCGTTGACCACTACTTAGTATGTGTAAACCACTCAGCTAGGCTCTGCAGTCTCAACAATACTAAGATATGGCCCTTGACCTTGTGACTGTGTCTCAAGAGAAACATGAATGCACAACAGGCAACCACAATCTCGTTTCAACGTACAAGGGGGTAAGGAGACTAACCATCTCAACCCACCTTTGACTACATAGTCAATTTGCTTCTATTTCAAAGATACATATATCACACACACACACAAAACCATATATAAATCTACACACCTACTTTCCAAAAGGAAAAATCCCATACAGTAACTTAACTCCTAGCAAAGTCAACCATATACTTTTTAAAAAGTTGTATTATCTATGAGTCCTAGAAAGAAGTGTCAGACGTGAGACAGCTGGAGGAAGGTCAGGTGCTCCACCTTCTTTAAAATCTCAGTTTGTGGGATACAGGCAATGTGAGAGACACACAATTCATCCTGGGGCCCTTGGGAGACATGGCCTTTTCCTATCTGCCAATTACAGATAAACTTATGATGGTTCTTTCACAACAGGCCTCAGATAACAATTTTCCTTACCCTGCTGGGAAACATTTCTGAAAATACCTTACAGCCGCCCCTTAAGCAGAACAATGAGGCTCAGGCAACAGAATCCTAACTTAGCTTTATAATCGCTTCACTGTGTTTTTGTTTTGTTTTGTTTTGTTTTTTTGAGATGGAATCTCATTCTTGTTGCCCAGGCTGGAGTGCAATGGCATGATCTCAGCTCACTGCAACCT